TTCTGCTATAACAGGGTGGCGTTTGACTCGCCGCACTGTTTGCATAACCTGGCAGTCTCGCCATCAATAATTTGCCAAACGCATGGGTAACTTAGTCTTAATTTGTGTAGTATGACTTCGGTACCTCTTTTTGTATTTGGAGGAAAGGCCAGTGGCTCATAGGCTGTAGCATCTGAGTACCACTTGGCATCGAGCGAATTCATGACATTTTCTCTGTGTGTTCCCCGGAGGACTGCACCGTAGAAGAGGAAGGAGAGAGGAAGCAGTGTGAGAAAGAGAGAAAGGGGAGGGAACGCAGGAGAGGTGAGAACAGGAGAACGGAAGCGGAGGGAGGTCGGGTCGGGTCGAAGGATCAGGCGGTCTTGTGAAGGGTGGTGTATATATAACGACCAAGACGGAGCCCCTGGGCGGTCATGCTGGGTCAGCGTTGCTCGAATGACATTGGGCGTCGGTCTGCCCGTGGCCGCTGTCTGTTACTAGCTGCTATTAGAGATGGTGTCTCTATGAGGACTAGGAAAAGTCCAAAAAAATCTATGATAAATTGATCCCTTATGCTGTAATCTTGGATTCTCTTTAGCATTTCTATTCCCTAATGTCTGACAAATGCTCTTGGTCCGAAGGCAATACAGAATGATGGGATTTGACGGTGATTGGAGGGGCGTGGCCTAAGCTATGACGTCACAATCGCCAACGCATTGCTGGATAGCCCAAAGATTGTGTGTGTGTGTTAGAGAAAATCGGATACATTGACCCTTTTGTTGACCTCCCAAAGACAGGTTTAATTACACTGTATCCAGGGGACACAACAACGCCCTGTTCTGTCATCAGGGGACACAACCATCAGATGGACTGGAAAGCAGCGCGCATTCTTTTCCTTCCGCTGATGTCCGTGCCCGCAGGCTGGTGGAATCTTCCTGAACAAACAGCTGCCCAATTTCACCTGAACAGAGGCGTTATATATAGATACATGTATACATATATACATACATATGCATATATATATATTATATATATATATATATATATATATTATATAATATATATATGTGGTGTGTGTGTGTGTGTGTGTGTGTATGTGTGTGTGTCTGTGTGTGTGTGTGGATGTGTGTGTGTCTATCTGTCTTTCTCTATCTCTCTCTTTCTCTCTAACTATCTATCTATTTATCTTCCCTCTCGTCGGAGACAAGAAGACAGATGGACAAAGAAAGTAACAGACTGACTATAGATAACACAAAGAGGCCAAACCATGCCGAGATGGCGTGATGAAATAACGAAATCTGGGGCCCAGGATTGGAGACAAAACCCAAGAAAGAAAAAAAGAGGAAAAGATTGGGAGAGGCCTACGCCCTGCTGTGGACTGACTCAGGCTGATGGTGATGATGATATCAGATGAACACCACAGCACACACACACACACACACACACACACACACACCACACACACACACACCACACACACACATATATATATATATATATATATATATATATATATATATATATATATATATATATATATATATATATATATATATATATATATATATATATATATATATATGCATGTATGTAATGTATAGTGTATGTGTCTGAATATTTATAAGTCTATATAAATATACTTAAACACACACATAATACACTTAACACACACATATATATACGTATATATACATCAAGTATAATATATACATATATATATATATTATATATATAATATATATATATATATATATATATTATATATATATATATATACATATACATATATACATGCATACATATATATACATACATAGATATATACATATGTGTGCGTGTGTGTGTTCATAAAAGCACATACGCACACGCAGAGAGCAAACAAACCATGCATTTCCTTACAGGGCAAGATCCGAAAGGGCAGTCGTGTAGTTGACGCCCCTCGCGTCCAGCAGGTCCGTGATATCCTTCTTGGAAGTCGGTGACACGGCTACCTCTGCCAGGCCGGAGTCTGATCCGTCTGAAAGGCCGGAAATGCCGCTCAGATAACGGTATCCAGTTATCGTAAGGGAAATGTTCGACCATAATCTTCATTACAAAAAAAAAAAAAAGTTATGCGTAATTTGCAATGTTGTAAGCTATAACAATGAAGCTGTTGCAGTTACCTAGGATCCTTTACATGCCTCACCCGAAGGAAAGAAATCACAAACGCAGCCATTGTCAATGTATCTTGCAATCACACGTGTTGCAGACATTGCATTATCGCGATATTTTATCCTACAAAGATAACCCAAAATGACACAGGAAGATGACAAAACTAAGACATTTCCTGCCGCACCATACATCCCTTCCCTCAGTCATTACCACATTCCCCCGTGCCTACAACTCCTTAAACATCTATAACAACATCTATGAAAGCTAGAACATTCACCGAAAATCTTGACTGGCACTCACCTGGCACTCTGCTGACCCGGAGGACCTGGAGCTCGTGTGGATCTTCAAGGTCGTGGAACTCCTGAACGAG